TCTTTTTTTGTTTTTAATTCACCTCTTTTTTAAATTCGGAAACGAGATAGTTTAATAAAACATTGTCAAAATCTTCACCACCGAGGAATGTGTCTCCGTTTGTTGATTTTACTTCAAAAACACCTTTTTGAATTTCCAATATTGAAATATCAAATGTTCCACCTCCAAGGTCGTAAACGGCTATTCTAAAAATAAAGTAATTTCATTTTATTATGAATGATAAAAACAATTAATACTCATATTAAATCGAAACTAACATTTTGTCATCAGTTTTATCCATTCCATAAGCTAAAGCTGCAGCTGTAGGTTCGTTAATAACTCTTAGAACGTTTAGCCCTGCTATTTGTCCAGCATCTTTTGTAGCCTGAAATATTTATAAAAATTGTAAAAAATTTTAATAAATTTACATCGTTGAGTTTTTCAATTTGATTTTACCTGTCTTTGAGAATCATTAAAATATGCAGGTACTGTTACGACAGCGTTTTTAACTGTTGTATTTAAATAAGCTTCCGCTGTTTCCTTCATTTTAACTAAAACAAAGGCTCCAATTTGACTTGGCGAGTATACTTTTCCATCACTACCTTGTATCCAAGCATCACCATTCGATGCTTTAACTACTTTATAAGACAAAGTTTTCCTATAAAAAAAGTCAAAGAAAAAAAAATTAAATCAAAATTTCAATAAAACAAAATCGATATTTTCAAATATGTCAAACGGGTTTTTTTTTTTTTAACGAAGGAAATATAAAAAAATAAATTTACTAACATGTCTTTTTTGACTTCCGCATCAACAAACTTTCTACCGATCAATCTTTTAGTTGCATAAAATGTATTTGCAGAATTTGTAACAGCTTGTCGTTTGGCTGGCATACCAACCAATCTTTCATTGTCTTTTGTAAAGGCAACAACTGATGGCGTTGTTCTGGATCCTTCTGAATTTTCAATTACTTTGGCTTGTTTTCCTTCCATTACAGCTACACATGAATTGGTCGTACCCAAATCAATACCGATGACAGCTCCTTTGACTGTATCTGACCTAAAAAAAATTCAAGTTTTAATTTATATAAAAAAAAAAGTAAAATGCAATTATATCGAGTCAAAAATAACAAAAAAAAAAAAAATCTTACTTTAGTCTTGTGATTTGAGTCCTCAATGGAGAAATTAATGGTACATTATTCTGAAAATATACAAAAAAAATTCATTTAATCTCTATCAAAAAAAAAAAAATATATATATATATATATATAACTCTCAAAAAATTGAATTAAATAATAATAAATTTATAAAAAATATCCATTAGTAAAAAATAAAGAATGGATTTTTATTTATAATAAGCTAAGTTAAAATTTATTTTTGTGCAAAATATTTCATAATAACATTTTTTTTTTTTTTTCACAGGGCTTTGAGTGTAAAATTAATATATTTTCTTTTCCCCTAATTAATAGTTAAATTTAAAGTGACAAAAAAAAAAAAAAAACAAACGAACATAAATAAAATTAATCGGTCAAGAATAAATGAAAATAATTTGAAAAAAAAAATTAAAAAAATTTAGATATAATGAAAACCGGCAAGCGCACTATGTATAATTTTCACTCACCTTATTAAATAATTTGCTGAGATACCTCACCGACATTTTTCTAGTTTTATAATCAGCACAGTCTAAAACTTTTCGGCCCACGTTTCTGGCTACATACAGCATTTTTAACAAATTATTATCGACCAAATAGATATAATAAAAACAATCACATGTGAATGATGCAACTACGAAGAATTCGGATAATACACCGGAAATTCTATTCAATCTTGTATTCTAGATCTTTCCTACAAATAAGTTCTAAATATATATTTATTTTTTATTATTTATTTAAAAAAGTATTACACGGATATTTTTTATTAAAAAAAAAAAAAAATAAAAATGTATTTTTATAAATAATAATATTTTACTTTTTCTTTTTTTTTTAATAAAAAAAAAATGTAAGCATAAAAGCCGAAAATTTAATTTCACAATCACTACATTGATTCAATTGTTTCAATGACGAATATGCAAATGTGCGACAAAATTCTTTTTCCGGGGAAAAAAATTCCCTCACAAATTTTTAAACAAAAAAAAAATAATTTTTTTTTTTCATTCCAGAACTTTTAAACGTTCGTGATTTAAATTATCTAGTGATTAAAATAAGAGAATGTTATTTGTAATAAAATTAATATGATTAATTAATAATTATTTTTCTCAATTTAATTACGCCATGAATTCCCAATTCCTCTTTTCCGGACTAACTTAAAAAAACATGTAATGGAGATCATCAACATTGATTTTTTTTAATATGGGAATCCCAATCAAAGAAAACTAAATAAATTACTTTTTAAAACTCATTAATAATTTTCATGGAAATATTTGTTATTAAAAAATAAATTATCCCAAACAAAAACGTCAAAAGTTTCATGACAGTAAAAAAAAAAATTAACTAAAAAAAAATATATCAAAGAAATTTTGGGTTTATTTTATATACATTTAAATATATAACAAAAATTTTTTTTTTTTTAAATTAATTTTTTGTTTTATTGAGTACTATTAATAAATGCGACTATATGTTAACTATTATCATTATCATTATTCAAAATAGTTAACAAAATAATAATCATTATTACCATGTTATTATTTTTACACATCATCATCATCATCGGATCAACATCATCATAATCATCATTAACTCCAATTTTAAAATGTATTTATATTCGATATGAAAATAGGATGAATGAGAATGGAAACAAACAAACAAACAAAATAAAAATAAAAAATTTAAAAACAAAATTTTTTTCATTTTCATTTTAAATATTGTATTATTGCCATGCTGTTGATGAAATCATAAATTCAATTTTTTTTTAAATTTTTTTATTTTATTTTATTTTTATTATTTGTTTTATGTAAATAATAATCAAAAGTTATTAATAATAATAATTTCCTATATATATAATAATAATTATCAAGAATTTTTTTTTTTTTTACAAAATTTAATGAATTTTAATCATCACCCTAACAGTAGTAGTAGTAAACAAAAAAAAAAAAAGAAAAAATTTTTTATTGCAAATGGGCAATAATATAAACTGAATTTATTAATAATAATAATAATAATAATAATAATAAATGGTAATAATAATAGTAATAATAATAATAAATATTAATAATAATAAATTATTAAAAATCTGATTGAAAAATAGGAACGGATATTTCATTCAATTTTATTAATTATAAATTATTAATAAAAATTTATTTATTAATTTATTTATTTATTTATTTTAAACATCATCATTATTATTATTATCATATTTCTTTATTTTTATTATTATTATTATTATTAACTTTGATTTAAAGTTTATTTTACAGCACGAATGTAAATACCGATGAGAAATTTTTTTTTTTTTCACATTCAAAATTTTTCCCGGAATTAAAAAATCCCGATTTTTATCGATACACGTTCCCGAGTATAACCCGAAATAAAAATAATATTAATAATAATGATAATGATAATAATAATAATAATAATAAGAGTTGGAAAATCATTTTAAATCATTAGTACCTTTAAGGAACTCTAATGGAGACATAATTTTGTCATTTTCAAAAAAATTAATTAATTTTTACTTATTTAGAATATTATTATTATTATTATTATTATGATATCAAAAATAAAACATTATCAAATAAAGAAAAAAAAACCGGTAATAATAATAACAATAATAATAATAATAATAATAATGGGGGATAAAATTTTCTTAATACTGTTCGAAAAATCATCGTTTTTTTTTTTTCATAAATAATGATAATGATGATGATGATGATGATAATGATACGAAATAATTAAATAAAAAAATAAAAATAAATAAATAAACCGTCAAAATGATTTCCCTTACAATTATTATTATTATTATTTTATTATATGTATTTAATTTCGTTAACGGCTTCTTCGAAAGAAAAACAAAAAAAAAAATAATAAAATTTTCTTTTTAATATTATTATTATCATTATTATTATTATTATTTTTACAATTTCTCATCAGTTTTACTTACAATGAACCGTTCATCACTTTTATTTAAATTAATCAAAAAAAAAAAAAAAAAAAAATTTCCGAAAAAATAAAAAAAAAAACAAGACAGACAAGCGGACGGGGGAAAATGGCGAATAGGCGGGAAATTATGACGTAACACATAAACGGTACTGCCAACTTTTCTTTCTTTCGATCCATCGATATCATCGAATGTATATATATATATATATATATATATATATACACTAATTAATCCATAATTTTTTCTTCTGATCATCTCATCAAACGTATTTGCATCATCCATGAATTCCACACAATCCGGAGATCTATTATTATTATTATTATTACTTATAATTTCATTATGTTTAAAAAAAAAAAAATTATTATTATTATTATTATTATGTTTTAAACACTTTTGAATTTATTCTTCTTCTTTTTAATTTTTCCTCTTCTATATCACCAAATTTTTTTTTTCTTTTCTTTTTTTTTCTTTCTTTTTATACAAATAAAAATAAATCTATTCTTTTAATAAATTTCATACTTTTTTTTATAATTGTAATAGTAGTAGTGATAATAATAATAATAATAATTATTATTATTATTATTTTTAATGTTTCACAATAATTAATATATATATATATATTTATATATAAGTTTTGATTTATTTATTTATTAAACTTATTTTTTTTTGTTTGTTTTTGTTTTTTTTTTACACTCTTCAATTATTTATTTATTTATTTATTTTTTTTTTTATTTAAATATATATTTATTTGTTTATATTTATTGTTTTTTTTTTTTTTCTTGAGCTTTAAAATTTTCTTTTGTTTTTTTTTTTTTAAAATTTTTCTTTTGGCCCACAACATTTCCTTTTTTGTTTTATTCCTTTTTTTTTAAAAAGAAAAACTTAAAACTTTTTTCTTTCCAAACAAACACTTTTCATTTAAAAAAAAAAAAAAAAAAAAAAAAAAAAATTACAAAAATGATTTTTCCTTACATCCCGATCCCTGGAACTCTTTTTCCTATCTCTTTCTCTCTCTCTCTCACTCTCACTCTTTCAAGGGAGGGGGGCACTTTAAATATATAAATTTTTTTATATTTAGGAATAAAAATTCCTAATTTGGGAATTCCCCTTTTTTAAAAAGTTTTTTTTTTTTCAGGTTTTTCAGGTTTTTCATCCCCAAAGGAATTGTTTTTAATTTCCAAAAAAAAAAAAAAAAAAAAAAAAAAAAAAAAGCAAGTGCACTAATCGATTTTTGATTTTATTTTTAATAAGTTTTTATTTCATTTTATTTTTTAGTTTTTTTTTCTCCTTTTCATCATTATTATTATTTTTTTTTTTTTTTTGCACCAATAATTGTACCTTTTTTTTTAGGATCATCGAATTTTTTGTTTAGTTTAGTTCCCCTTTAAAAATAAACAATAAAAACTCGCGGATATTTTTCTTTAGATCATGTCACACCATCACTCCTCACTTTCAAATAAAACGTTTTTTTTTTTAATAAAGAAAATTATTATTATTATTATTATTATCATCATTATTATCATCATCAAACTATGTAAACCTAATGCCCGTGTGTTCATATCACTGACTTACAGCCGGAGACTTTTTGTCAGAATCTTGACTGGACGGTGTATTGCCTTGGGGAGGACCTATGGGACCCCTGTCGGGTCCTCCTCCCCAAGAATTAGGTCCACCCGTCATCGGGGAATCTGAAAATCCGTGATTATCGTGATCTAACGAATTAGCTGCGTCGTACTGAGTGTTTTCCAACCTCGTGATCAGTCTCTCATCTTCGTCTCCGAATTCTCCACCCATGAGTGAGGGTTCTCCGACCACCATGACGTCTTGAGATGCCAGCGAAAAATTCGGTCCGGGCGACCTTTTCTTATTGGGTACCGGCGCTGTATTGTTCACAGCCGCTGAATTTGAACCTTTTCGTTTCCGCCTTTTATTTGCAGGCCTTTGAGACTCTAATGAAACAACAACAAAAAATGAAAATTTTACTATCGGGGAATTTCACACGTATATACCACCACCACCACCACCACCACGAGGGCACCACGTACCAGGAGGAGCAACCATTCTTTGCCATTTTTGAAACAGAGTAGTTTTTAAACAATCTCTAGGACTAAGAGCATACGCTTTATGCCTCGACATTAATTCTTGCATTGGCTCTAAAATCACACATAACTGAAAACAAAAAATGATAATGATAATTATTATTTGAATTGATTGAAATAACTCGTTCCACGTGGAACCACGACAATCAACGCAATCAACCCTTTCGTAGGGGTAAATGAAAAGGATTTTTGGGGAAACCTATTATCAAGGACTGCTAGAAAACTTTTCAAAATGATGATAATGATAATAATAATAATAATAATAATAATAATAATGATATACCCTGAGGTAGTTGAGTGTAGAATTTGTTATTCCTTGTCTCGTTATATTTTTAGATAATTGTTCGAGCATTGATGGATCCTGTGCCGAATGCATGCCGACAACGGACCTCGGTATGAGTTCACGATGGGTTCTCACAGAAAAATGCCACGTTTTTATTCTCATAAGATCATCAAATGTAAATTCAAGTATTAGTCGTCCCTCCGTGCAAACCTGGAAAAAATAAAAAAAAATTTTAAATTAATTTAAAATATAAGAGAGAGAGCTAAAAAAAAAAAAAAAGATGTTTCCTCTCGCACTTTTCCTCGGGCAACAGTCAGAGAGAGAGAGAGAGAGAGAGAGAGAAAACAAAAAAACAAAAACAAAGATGGCCGACTTCGTTTCCTTTCTCTTTCTTTCGAATTATTATAAATAACTTACAAAGTCTACCTTAGTGAACATTGGCTTCCCGTGATGCGTGATCATGGAACACTGTTCGCAGTCTAATGTTATACTCGTGTTGTGAAAAGATTCTTTTGGATGTTTTAAATTATAATATAATTCAGTGACACCACCTTCGAATATACTCCTGAAATACCTAGGGATTAACGTTCTTCCTATTGCTGTACAATTAAAACAAAAACAAACAAACAAACATCTCGATTAAATCACAAAACGTAAATCTAATAATAATAATAATAATAATAATACTATTGTCGAATACACTCACTGTATCTTTTAGGTCCATCTTCTAAACAAAAAGTAAGCGTAAGTTGCGCGTCATCTTCGAAAAATTCTGTTGCGAACGCGTCCCACCATAAATTATCACTTTCCTAAAAGCAGAAGAAAAAAAAATTTTCCAATTCGGGTCATCGACGGAAACAATTAATAATAATAATAATAATAATTCATACGGCAAACCTTACAAAAACCTTACCTCGGTTCTCTGTTGGAGGCGTTTATTCAGTTCATATATTCTATAGTCGGGTTGACCAAAATACGGTGTGTGCCTCCTAGGTACAGGCAGAGATCTGAACCAAAAAAAATTTTTTTTTTTTTTTTTTAATATAAATAAATCAAATATCATGAGAATGGAAAACCAAACCAAATCCGTTAAAAAAAATAATAAAAAAAAAAAACTTCGATTTATCGATTTTATTACCGATCGAACGATAATAATTAATAATAATAATGATAATAATATTTAAACGTTAGAATAATTAAATATTATCAACGTGGTTCAGCAATCGTCAATAAACGTCAGAAAAAAAAAAAAAAAAAAAAAAAAATTAAAAGGCTATGGGGGTCAAAGTCTAAATTTAATATTTG